ATAATGTTTCTTATAAATAAACCACCCCAAAAAAACAGCTGCTTTTTATTTAACAACAATTTCTGTCCACTAAAAAGGCACTCAAACATCTTAGGGGACAGGGGCGGATCCAGAAATTTTGGGGGGGGGGGGGGGGGGTGATCAAGGACCTATAGTCTATTTTATGCTAGGAGTCGCAAAGCAAATTATGATTATGTAACCTCTCATGCCCGGAAATGCTACTCATTCTGACTTAAAATTTCAATATTACCTCCATTTTTAAACAAAATTATGTTTACAATTGTAGGGGTCCTGGCCGGCTGGGCAACCTATCACACCCCCCACCCCGCCCCAACCGGATTAATATGATATAATTTCTACAGTGGATGTCAGAGACACATTATGCTGTTATGTTAAACAAAGCCGTTTTAGATGAGGGTGCTATAGAGCAAGGAGCCTACTGAACCCTCATGTGTAGGAACACCAAAGGGGCTCCTAAAGCTCTGTGCCGGCCCTGCGGACCGCCGCACGAGAGAGCATGCTTTACGCGTATGCCACTGAGCATGGATAGCTAATCTATAGCTTGGTACAGGAACTACATTCTGGCTAAAAAAAAAGGTCCGCCTTTTTTACATCCTGATTTATGAAATCGTTGGGGATATAGCGTTGTGTTCGTCGTCAATTAATAGAAAATTTAAAATTACTGAGTGGTAAATTAATAGAGCTCTACTTTCGATCACTGCTGGATCCGCCACTGAACTCATGGGTACACTTGTTTTTTTTTCCTCTTTTCCTTTCTTCCCTTTAACTCTTCTTTTTTTTTTAAATTTGGAATGACTGAAGGGGGGACACGGGCCCTCACCCTCTCTGGATCCGCTCCAGGGGTATCGTAAGGTTTAAAAATCAGTCTGTGAAGACCAGTGGGATTGCAAGTAATGCATGCCATACTTACAAGTTTAGTGCATAATATTGAATAATATGCTACGGCTTTAACTAAATTTTAGAAAGACTTTTGAAAACAAAAAGCAAACCAAATTTTAGAAAGACTTTTGCAAAAAAAAAAAAACAAAGTACATTTTCATTACAGAACTATTGAGAGGCAATACTTTTCTTGTTTATAATGTTGACAATATATTATCAGGGAACAGTGAACACTGTTCCCTGATATTATAAACTGGATCATACAGTAGGCCTACATGCTAAAAAGGTTATTCCTTATTCGTCACTTATTGATTGTTGGAGGGGTTAACATGGTCACTTTATAATATATATTTTGTTATATTTAATGAACATTCGCTTTTTTATATGCATGGCGCTCAGTAAAGTGATACGATCCACTTATCTATACTCAATACTACTCTGTTAACTTCCACTGTTCGTAGTATAACGACATTTTGAATAATAAATTGTTACATGTCATGTGTTGCTTTTTTAGATTGACAAATATTTTGCAGATTCGGGTTACTGTAAAATTATATTTTACGATATTTTAATGGATATAAAATTATAGGAACTCAAAAATATTCTAATAATGGTGAGACATCTGTGCTACGATATATTTCTTCCAGATCTGTGCAATACGCGTCTGAACGGTAAATTGTCACGAAACTATTGGTGCTTACACAAGCATGATGTAGATACTCATTGGAAAAAATAACGCGCCCATTTTATGAATATTAACCAATAGGCATACCTTTCCGTATATGTTTTGACACTAAAATAATGGAGACACATCATAATAAAATATGTCAATAATAAACACATTAATAATGATTTAAGACACATGTATAATAAAAAAAAAAGTACATCAATAATAACACATCGATGATAAAATAATGAACACACAATCATGTGTTTCTGTTTTCACCACTATATCTATTCAATAAATTATTATATTTCCAATACATGGGTCTATCAATGCATAGTTGAACAATAAACTTTAAAAATTCTAATAATTTAAAACGCGAAATATATCTATCAATCAATTTAAAGGGTATGTAGTAATATTAATATTATTATGAATAGTATGTTATCATTATTATTATTTTATTATATTATATTATATATTATTATTATTATCATTATCGTTATTATTATTATGAATTTTATCATTATTATTATCATTGTTATCATGGTTTGATATTATTATTATTATTATTATTATTATTATTATTATTATTATTATTATTATTAGCATCTAAGAGTCACTTTATTATCTAATAAGTTTACTATTATGTATGCATATGGCATAAATAAATGATGGACACATATTGGGTAAAGTTGGTTTCAACCCACTGTATCTAGCTATTCAGTGTTTTTACCTTCTAATAAATTATTGAAGTTGTGGTTATACAATGCACTCCAAAAATGTAATAATGTAGACGGAATACTATTAATTTATTTCTAAGATATATATTAATAGTCTAGATAAATTTTAATTTATATGATTTATTACCTACGCAAGTCGGTATTCACTGTCCATAGCAAGATTCTACGTAGATGAGGACAGACTATACTTCGTGATTTGCTTTTAAGGAGCTTATTATTTAATAACTTAAGGTAAAGCCCCGCTGTTATGATTATTATTACAGTTGATATTATTAGTCTAGTTGATTACTAATTATTTTTTCAATTATTATTCATTTCATTATTTTATGCTATACGCTAGAAATGTTATTTCAATATTATTATCTATATAGGCATAGGATATAATTATAAAAAGTATAATTATACACAAATGTGTTTGTTACATTTTATAGGAAGTACACCCTTCATTAGGTCTATTATACTAATGTGTTTACATGATTTGTAACAACAATTTGATATCGGTTTTACAGGGAAGGGGGATGGGTGAGTCGATGTCCAATTTTACCGACGATAGCATAAGTAGGTGGAGGCAGGACAGCCCAGAACTTCTCAAAGGGAAAAGTTCTGTAAATATTACACAAAAATATTTCTTTCTCCACCAATGATATTCTTTTTTCTTCTCGACGTGTTGTGCATCCCCTCCCACCGCCACCGCTCCCTTGTTTTAGCATGGTACTGTATCTTTTACAATAATGAACCAGCATTTAAATATGTTTCTTGTCTATACAAAAATATTATTTCTTAAAATATTTTTGGCACTTTTTGAGGGGTGCCTATAGGTAATTTTTTTGAATGAAATAGTCATTCCCGGCCGATTCATTGCCATATGTAAGAACAGGAAAGTTGGAAAGATATTGTACCGGTACTGCCCATGGAGCTCTTTTTTGTCCAGGAGAAATATCCACATTTTGACATAAAATAAAATGTGAATCACTAACCAGCTAAAATCAGGAAAGATTCACTGTTACCTGCTAAATCCATGCCACATCATTCCCAGGATTGACAGGATTATTGGCTTGTTAAAAAAATATTTCACATTATGTTATTTTAAAAAGATGAATAATAATATTCAAGAGTGTTGAGGTCAATTTATTTTGTTGTCAGATAAAAAAAAAAAATAAATACTGAGTAGTTCTAAATCTAAGATGATGTAAATGGTAGTAATAAAAAACAATAATAATGATGCATAAAAACGGAACACCATGTTAAACTTAATAGAGAATTACCGACCGACAGATAGATTGATGGACAGACAGACGGACAGACCGATCGACAATGCTGAGATGCGAATAGGGCTAGTTGACGATTTGAACAGTAAATTATGTAGGAATATTAGCGGCGCGAATTAAAACGGGGCGTTTATTTGCGCGAGTACGGTACTTAAAGGACACACACACACACACACACACACATATATAT